AGAAAAACACCGAATTTTTTTAATTCGTTTTTGCGTAAACAAATGAACGGATTTTAATTAAGTTTATCTCATATTGTAGGTATTTTTAATACTTGAAAAAAGCATTAAACTAAGTAGTGGAAAAATTAAAATATAAAACATTAAAACACACATTACACTGTAATCCGGCTTTTTGCATGGTTCAAAGAAAATATGGGGTGTAGGTGAAGAAAAATAATAGAGTTGAGGTCCTTGTATAACCGTGCAGTTTTTAATTTCTATTTTATTGAAATATTTAATTTGGCTTACGGGATTTGCAGGACTAGCGAACTGAAACTGAATCACTAGAAAATTTCAAGGCAAAAGTATCGACAAAAATAATTAGCTCGTTTATTATCTAATAACCATAAGTATTTCGGGATAATCATGCGTCCTAACTGGGTGCAGCTAATAATAGCATTATTATCTTATAATTAAGAAAATAAAATATGTTCACATTGAAGACAAATTAACACAAGCCTAAGAATGTTTTCACAACATGAAAATTGTTACACATTAATTTCCATACGTATCAAGTTCCTAAATAATTTTGTCATTCAACTTTATACATATTTGGGAGCAATTCCACCATGACATCGCTTAATTTTAAATTAATGTGATGATCGTATTGTGCAACAAGAAATGAAAGTATATTTGCTATCCTTGCGCCAGCTTCGATTTATGGTCGCAAATGGTCAACCTTGCCGTTTAAGAACTTATTTTATTATTACAAAGAGCAAGGTATTTTTTATATAACGATATATTCTTAAGTTCGATACAATTACTATGTTCACTGGTTATGAATGATTCATGATTTTTTAATAATGGAAACAGGATTTTGCATAAACGATAGTTGTTAATAGACAGTTATTGGAAATTATAAATACTGTCATGCAGTAATAAGGTTAATGCTTATTTTAATACTGGATTTGCTTTATTTCTCTAACGAAATGATAGTTATTGAAATGCATAGTTCACTGCTTTCAGTATTAAAAGTTTTTTGGTGCATTTTGGATGCTGATTGAGCGTTTTCGCTTACTTGCTACAAGGGAGGAAATTCTAGAAGCCGCAGTTATAGACGGAGCAAGTGAAAGTGAAATTGAATACTTAATTTTGGACAATATATCCTTACATTTAGGAATGTTTTCCGGGCTTTGAAGCCGTGGTCTATCGGAATTTCTTCCTGACGTTTCGTCAACAACTGCGGTAGACATTTTCAAAGGTGATGAGGCAGTGGGCGAAGTGATCTCCCGTGCTTTCCGACTAAGATTGATTCAACTGTTGGATTCCCCGTCGTATTTATGCAGCCCAGCCGTGTGCGCTCATGCGTGGGGGATGGGTGGGGGTTCCAACGCTTCGGCGCACATGCTGTTTGGCGCAAAACGCGCTTCTAATCTGGATTGAGTGCCGTAATTTCTTCTTTTCTATTAAAATTGTTTTGGTGTTTAAATATTTCGATGGCCTCTCTGGTGAGTCGCGGGTAGTATCTTTCAGATTGGTGCAGAATGTCAACTTCGTCGAAGCGTATTTGGTGGCCGTCTAGCAGTGCGTGTTCCGCTACTGCTGATTTTTCCGTTTGTCCCAATCTGCAACTTCGTTTGTGCTCCGTCATCCTAGTGTTTATGCTTCGTTTTGTGGTGCCGATGTATGCTCTTCCACAGCTGCACGGAAGTCTGTAGACTCCTGGTGCTGATCCCGTTTGTCCTTGGCCGATCTCAAAGTTTGTTGGATGGTTCGAGTTGGTTTGAAAATGGTTTTTACTTGGTGTTTCTCCAGTATCTTGCCGATCCTGTCCGTGACTCCATGTATGTACGGGAGG